TTTATTGTGTTTTAGGTGAAAGTTTACAAGCAAGTTTCTCATTCAACAAATTGTTCACAAAGTGTTCCATGACATTGGTTACAACCCCCACACTGTGTCAGCATTCCAGCATTCTCTCCATTTCCTTCCTAGGTTTCCTGATCTTTTTTTTTTTTTTTTGTCTGATTTTCCTACCTTTTCCTGTCTTCTCATCTTTACTTTCGGACAAATTTTGCCCTTTTGGTTTCGTATATTTGTTTGTTGTACGAAGCACATTCTTTTTTGGTGTTAGTATTTTATAGGCCTGTCTATTGCTTGGCTGGAAGGTGGTGTCCACAAATGGCCGCAGTTCCAAGTCAGAGAGGTGTTTTAGGGCTGTAGTCTTGGGGATTCCTCCAGTCTCTATCAAGCCAGTAAGGCTGGTCTATTCTGTACGAATTTGATTTTTTGTTCTACATTTTTTTCTCCCACTCTGTCTGGGACCCTCTATTGTAATCCCAGTAAGAGCAGTTGGTAGTGGTACCATCCAGTTCTTTTGGTCTCAGGGTCCTGTAGGCTGTGGTGCAGGTGGTCCCTTAGTCCTTGGAACTAGTTGCTCCCTTCACTCTCCTTTACTCTGAATGGGAAGAGACCACTAGGTTTATCTTAGATGGCCACTCGCAAGCTTTTAAGACCCCGGATGCTGCTCACCAAAGCAAGATGTAGAACATTGTTTTTATGCACTATGTTATACCAATTGACGTAGATGTCCCCCAAGTCTATGGTCCTTAGCCTTTGAACCAAGTATCTTCATCCCAGTAGTTGCTTGATTGTTCACAAGAAGTTTCCATGACTGTGCCACTTGTGAGTTCTGTTGTCTAAATTAGTATACATGCAACATCTACAAATATATATGTAGAGATACCTACAACCTAACCTATATCTGCAGGTGGGTGCACTGCCTTACACCCTCTCACATCTCTTTAGCATACCTATGTACCTATGTATTCCTTTGTAAATTACTGTTTGTTAACTGTTGTTGCAAGATTGTCTATGTTGTAGTAATTGCTGTAGTTGCCCTTTATTCTTGTGTTCCTTTCAGTCTCTTCTGTTGCTTTTGTCTTATTGTGCTGATTTCCCCCATATAGTGTATTGTCTTTCCCTTTACCAATATAACAATGTGTCTTCTATCTAGTAATTTACTCTCCCTCTCCCCCCTTCCCTGGTAACCACCCAAAAAAAAATTTTTTTTTCTGTGTGCAAACTTTTTCTTTTTTTTTATAGTAATGTTCTCATACAATATTAGTCCTTTTGTGATTGGCTTATTTCACTTAGCATAATGTCTGCCAAATTTATCCATGTTGTGAGATGTTTCACAAATTCATTGTTATTCTTTATCATTGCATTGTATTCCATTGTGTGTATGTACCACAGTTTATTTAACCATTTATCCCTTGATGGGGACTTAGGTTGTTTCTATCTTTTTGCTGTTGTGAATAATGCTGCAGTGAGCATGGTACATATATGTCTATTTGTGTCATGGCCCTTATTTCTCTAGGGTATATACCTAAGAGTGGAGTTGCTAGATCATATGATATTTCTATTTCTAGCTTTTTAAGGTAGTGCCATATTGTTTTCCATAGTGGTTGTACAAAAGCTTTTTGATATCCAAGAAGCTAGGAGATGAAAGTGTTTGCAAAAGGAGGGAATGTTCAATTACATATCTATAGTTGAAAGGTTTGGGCCCCACCACCAAGGCCAAATTATTACTTATACTTAAATGTATTCAAATGAAATTTTAGTATATTTGTGTTTATATGAACTTGATGATACATGTATTTAATGCAACATTAAAAGTTTTCACCATTTTTTTCCTGCAATGAATCAAAAACACATATAATAGAATTTTTACCACAAAAGGTTACGTGAACATTGGATTAAAAGACAATAGCTATAATGTAATTAAATATTAAAAAAAAGTATCAATTTGCTTAGAATTACCTAATGTTGCATTGCAGGAGACCTTGACTGTGTTAGAATTCCATGGTAAAGATTTTGATTATTGCTGTTGGATATCATTATTTGGGATTATGTCAATGAAACCAAAACTAATGATGAATTTGGAGGCGGGGAAAAAAAATTCTTGTTATAACAGAAGTTCTAACAAAAAAAAAGATGAGGTTTGTATTAAGATAACAACTGTCATATTATTTGAAAATCCCTATAGTTGAACGTATTTTCAAATATATGTAACTCATAATATCAGGCATTGAATTAAGTCCAACAATAATTATGCAATATATATCCTAAAAAGAACACTACCATAGGTCATATAAAAAAAAAGGAGATAAAAAAAATGAAAGACTAATTTGGAAAGAAGACTTTTTACTATAAATTTTCATGGACAATGTAATACTTTATAGGATGACAAAAATATAGACAGTGCTCATTTGATCATGGTGCATATTTAAGAATTTTAAGATATAAAAAATAAACAAAATGTGTGTGTATATATATATATATATATATATATATATGTACACATTAAGTCCTGTTGTTGCTATTAGGTTCCATCAAGTTGGTTCTAACTCACAGCAACTCTATATACAACAGAATGAAACACTGCCTGGTCCTGCACCATCCTCACAATCGTTGTTAGTTCGAGCCCATTGTTGCAGCCCCTGTGTCAATCCATTGCATTGAGGGACTTCCTCTTTTTACTGACCCTCAATTTACCAAGCATAATGTCCTTCTCCAGGAACTAGTCCCTCCCGATAACATGTCCAAAATACATGAGATGAAGTCACACCATCCTCTCTTCTAGGAAACACTATGGTTCAGAAATGTCCCATAGTGTTTCCAAGGATCGGCTGGTGGATTCAAACCACCTATCTTTTGGTTAGCAGCCAAGCTCTTAACCACTGTGCCACCAGGGCTCCATATAAAATATAGTCTTTATTTAATGTTAAAAAAGAGATGATGGTGGTTTCAACGTAATAGAAAATTGGTATCTTTGAAATATCCATTTATCTGTATTTTGAGTGAACTAATGTGAATGAAATATCATTAAAATAGTCATGTTTATTGGCTCTCACAAGAGCCAGTAAAGGAGCTTCCTTTAGGAAGGGAAGATCAGCTCCATTTAAAACAAAGCAGAACAATGAAGCATTTTTAGTCTCACAACACCACTCCTCCTTTTCATAGTTTGGTTTTCCCTCTTAGAAAGCAACACCCTGGCATCTACATTAGAGTTGAGACAGACAAGGCATCTCTTTCATCCCTCGTTGCCAAAACTCCTCACTAATAATAATTAACCATTCCTGGCTTCTATCCAAGAGAGTTTAATAAATACTGGAATGGCTTCTGGGCCTCAACTGCATTTATAGCTTTAGCTACGGAATGATGGGGGCTGGGGGGAAAGAAAACACCACTGTATGCTAACTGAGATTTGCTGAATAGCATCAATGCAGCAAAATGACTACTTGGTTATCTATTAATTAATGACCATTATTTTAAATACACATTTTATGTAAGAATATGTATAGTGTTGTTCATTCAGACAGTCCCATTCGGCTTTATAAAATTTATTTCTATACCTGCTTCAGAAAATTTGTTAGTAAATAGCATCACAATATTTGATAATCATTCTAAAAGTCATTATTTTTACAGGTTTCATATAGCTATGTTTTCCTAAGTAATTTATTTGGCATTAATTTCTAGATAAATGAAGATTCTTAATGTTCAATGTCTATACAGTAAAACAATGAGCCCTGGTGGCACAATGGTTAATTGATCTACTGCTAGCTGAGAGGTTGGCGGTTCAAACTCACCAGCTGCTCTGCAGGAGAAAAGACCTGGTGATCTGTTCCCATAAAGATTTACAACCTAGGAAAATCTATGGGGCAGTTCTACTCTATCATGCAGGGTTGCTATGAGTCGGAATCAACTAGGTGGCACACAACAGCAGCAACAATATAAATACGGATTTTTTTTTTTTTCTTTTTTAAATGTGGCTTGGTATCAGGATTTATTAGCTCTTTCTGTCCTGTGGCAGGTACTGCCATTCTGGGGAAAAAAAGGGTGGTGCTACAGGTGTGCTTGAGGCTAAGTGATAAAGTCTGGCTTATTCAAGGAGACCTTGGGTAGTGCGAATGATTAGTGTTCTTGGCTGCCAGCTGAAAGGCTGGAGGTTTGAGTCTACGCAGACGTGCCTTGGAAGACAGAACTGGTGATCTACTTCCAAAAAATCAACTACTGGAAACCCTATGGAGCGCAGTTCTACTCTGATACCACGGGATCGCCATGAGTCTGAATCGACTCGATGGCAATTCCTTCGATTGTGGTTTGGTTTATTCAAGGATAAAGGTTTATGTGTCTCATCCAGCCACTGTTCAAGCCAATATCTTGTCTCTGACTCCTGAGTCTTATTTCCCAACTGTTCAAAAAGTTCATGAGGTAGAAACAGGCCTGATTACATCCCCTAAAACTCCACATGAATGAACACTGGTCCAGTTGCCCTATGGTGAATACAAAAACATGGCATATGTTTGAGTATATCTTATTCTTCACAGCTTTTTGTGCCTATTTTCCTAATCTGAAAGAATATAGGTGAAGTTTTGGCCCTGGTTTCAATGCCTTCATTCCAGAATGGGGTTCTTCTGCCTCGGCCAACACTTGAAGTAAGTGAGAGTTTGTTTTGTGAAATCTTATTAAAGACACAAAAAAATCAAGAAGTTGACTTCACTAGCTAACTAGTACTGTCTCCTTAGGTTCTGACTTGGTATTTCACTCCAGTGAAATTTGTAGGACTCGAACTATGAAGAGAAACTACTTTGTCCATAAATTTATCTAGAATAAATTTTTTCATAGGCCATTAGGGGAATTCAACTCTAACCTGGAACTATATGTTCAGAAGTTATTTAACCCTTAACAAATCTCCTTTGATTTCTAATTAAAAGTTAAGTTTTATAAATATATAATTATTCAACCTATAGGGCAGAAATAATCACTTTGAATGTTGACCAAGAATTAACACACTACAGTCAGGAATTCAGAATATTTATTGCAAGAGCTGAATAATTGTAAATAATGTAGAACTGGCAAAGCAGTAACAAGGATAATTGTTTAGATATTTATTCTGTCAAAGTCATCAAACACCCCTCACAAACCACAAAAATGTACTGCAATAAGCAATGCACCCCTACCCATTATTCATTATACTGTGGAAAAAGTGAACTGCTATTTACAAAGTAATTTTATTTTTGGTAAGAACAAATTAACTATCAGATTAGCAAAACTTTTTTTTTTTAATTTTTATTTATTTATTTATTTTTTTACTTTAAACTGATGTTGAACCGTGGCATTAAGATAACTTTCACTTCTTTCAATAAAGACATTTGGTTGCATGCTATTTATTTGTTTAAATCATCTGTCATGCCTTAACAAAAACCTCCTAAGAATGTTCCAATTTAGATTTGTTTGCACGTGCAACTGAGATCGTATTAACATTAGTCGTCACTCTGTTGTTTTGACCTAAGTGACGAGATGCTGGTACCTGCCAGGCATTGACCAACTATGATAACAAACAGTTAAACAGCAATAATTAGAGATTTATCCCTTTATTTCCCCCAACTAGCCTACCTGGAGAATGTTCTGTTACATCATGAAGGCACAACACATTAAATATTTTGTGGCTATGGTCTAATAACACTTGTGTTACAACAACATTATCGTATATGAGGATCAACACAAACTCTGTCATTTCAACAAAGTTGCAGACACACAGTTGCCCAATTGAAACTATTTTTCAACAATGATTTTTTTCTTCAATATATGCTAATTTTGATACGTTAGTTTTGCATGAATGACAAGCACAGGATATTCTATCACTTTCTGAAGGATAACATCTTCCCATTAGTCTCTCACTTAGTGCTACTAATTAAGTGATTTTACTTTTTCCTACTTTGAAAAAAAAGATGTCAAGAAAAGGTTCTGAAGTTCACACTTTTGCAGTAGTTTTTTTCTGTTTAAAGTTTTCATTTTTTTCTCTTTATTTTTTTACAGAATTCCAGTATAATGAGCTATCATACAAGAAGCAAGATTCCAGAACCTTTTTTAAACACGGAGTTTGAGATCCTTGAACAATGTGTGTCAGACAGACGACTAACGCAGAAACATCATCACTAAAAGAAACAACAAAAATAACAAGAAAGAGAAAATTAAAAAAATAAAAAGGAAAGAAGCAACCATAAAACACGGAATTATGTTACAACATTTTAGGTGAACGTTATAAATACACAAAAGTTGTTAATAATAACTTGCTTCTATTTACAAATACTTTAACACTGATAGACTTACAAGTGTCCACTAACGTTGTTAACAGCACAATAGGTTTAATGCTTATCTTTTTAAGTTTTGTCTGAAGTATAATGTCAAGTATAGTGGTCCGAGCACAAATCAATGACAAAAAAGAGCACAAATTTCTAACTGGATATGTTTGTCAGTCACTCGAATCCATGGAACTCCCTTACTCTCCAAATGCATATTCTATTGTTCATAGCAGCAGTCCAGGGTCAAAAACAAAATGCAATTAAGAAAAAAAAAAAGGATATTTGCACAATGGAGAGATCTCTGGAGAGTTTAATCAATTCCAGTAAACAAGACCACATGGCTACTAGAACTATTTTCTCTCTTATGTTGCAAATCATTGTATCCTCCATGGTGCTAAAACAAAGTTATGCATATCCCTGCTTTAAGGGGCATAGCTGTAGAGATCTATTGAATACATAAAGCTCTGACACACAAGGTATTAGCATGTCTATTTAGATTAAGGTCATTAAGTCCTATATAGCCTTTCCTTAGAGTTGGTGCTCTTTAGGACTCTCAATTGCGCCTCCTGATTGCTTATAAGACTTCAGATTTGCCAGAGGAATGTCTGTCATGTGGCTGCCATTGTTGAAATGGCCTTCATTGGAACCATACTGCTTACGGTCATTGAACTGGTTCTTGTTGCTGTCTTCTTTCCAGGCTCTAGTCAGAGTGTGCCCATTCACTAGCTTGTCCTTCTTGACCCATTCTTTCTGGGGTGCAAAGGTTGAGAGAGGAGATTTAGGGTGTTGATATGGGCCCAAGCCAGGAGGCATCCAACAATTATCAGAGTGACCCAAAACCAAGCACTCTTGAGTGCACATCTCTGTAGCTTCAGCTAATCCTCGGGGACCCAGAGGCCCATCTGCAAAGGACAACAGATAGAGAAAAAAAGGTAAGAAAATGGTTAGAATTTCCATTTGAAATTAGCTACTTAGAGGAAAAGTTTATTAAGTTAAGCAATTCAAAGATATTATTCCGTGTCCTTTTAAGATGAACACAGGAATCACATTCCTTGTTGTGGAGGTAAAATTTTACCTGTTTTCTTCCTTAAGCCTTAATTTACATCCAGAAACATAAATACAAGATTGGTATGTAGCTAGGTAGCTAGGTAGGTAGATAGATAATAGATAGGTAGACAGACAGACAGATAGATGATAGATTAAAAAACAAACAAACAAACCCACTGCCTTCGAGTCGATTCTGACTCATAGCAACCCTATAGGACAGAGCTGAACTGCCCCATAGAGTTTCCAAGGAGCGCCTGGTGGATTTGAACTGCCAATCTTTCGGTTAGTAGCCGTAGCTCTTAAACACTATGCCACCAGGGTTTCCAGATAGATAGATAGACATGGGTAAATAGATATAACCATAATGTATCATTTCTAATCAACTTTTTTCATAGCATGTATGTTTTTCTGATTTATAAGAATTTATAAGAATTCTTAGCAAAAACTGATACTTGTAAGAACTCATGAAAAGTAGAAAAACTTTAATGCTCACAACTGAATAACATGTAAATGCTATAATTCCAAGAAAATAGAGTATAAAATAATACTCTACTTTGTGAACATTAAATGTGCTTCTGGTGAGGCTTTACAAGGAAATGGTAAGCAGGTTACTGGACACTGTATCATTAAAAAGAAATACTCTAAATCATTATATAAAATAGTTTTTTTTTCTTTTTCCATACAAGCTCTTCTTATATTTTCTTATATGAAATCACATGGAGATAATTTTATAACATTAAAAAAATTAAATTCTCATATTAAAGAATATTTTAACTATAGTATATTACAAAGACACAATTGGTCAGCTGCAAGCATACTGAAATCCAAGTCAATAAAGAAGCCATTTGCATCCACAGACAGCGTTTGACTCCTTCTAAGCCTAACCTATTTTCTACATTTCTAAGGGTACAAAACTGAAGCTAAGTTGCAAAGTAGATCACATGGAATCTAACATTCAGGGGGAAAAGAGTCATCATATATATTTCTCTTTTATTTTTTACACCAGCAGGCAATCTAGAACATACATCTTAACTGGGATTTCAAAAATAATTGTTTTCTGATGTGTAAAGAGAAAACCAGCCCTTTACAAAAAGAAAAAAAAATAGTCACATGGTTAAGGAAAAGGTTTTTTTTTGTTGTTGTTGTTATTTTTCCCCTTGATTAAACAGTCAAGTGATAAGTGATAGCTTGGAAATTAGGAATTGATTTTAAGAATGACGTTAAGTGGATAAGCAAGAATGCCTGAGGTATAAAGTATTTTCAAAAGCAGAGAGTCATCACAATAAAAATACAGAAGAAAACATGTCTGCAAGTTTGCATAGCTAACAATTAAAATAACTAAGCAATTGGAATGTAGGTCTTTGCTAAAATCTAAATCAGTACTACTAAAATTTTGAAGTGCTAATCATTTTTGGCTTTTTATATTAACATCTATTTTTTTCTTAATAATAGCCTAAGGTGGTAAGTTACATAGACTAACTATTTCTTGCATCTGAAAAAGTACCTGCTGAGATGGACAACGGTGATGGCAAAAGCTTGAGACAAAAAATCGCAAGCAACATCAGAAGGGAAAGTATGGATGTGAAGAAACTGTGGCTAAACTGCACTTTGTTACACAAACTCAAATTTAACTTATTTTTTTTAATCTAAAAGAGAGAATATGCGAAGTTATTTTTTAAAAAATCTTAAAATACCATCCCATCCCACCTGTATTCCCACCTCCTCAAAAACAACCAGCTTTATTTTGCTTAAACTCTTGCTCATTACTTAAAACTATTTCTCTCACAAACTTCTGATGGCTTCTTACTTCCTATGATAATTAAATTAAGCTTCTCTATGAGCCTTCATTGCCACACTTTGAAAGTTGAAACTCATTCTCACTTTTGGTTCACTTCGGTGTGCTCAGGACTCTGCATCCACCAAACACATTTACTCAAGTCAATCCAGCCTCCTTGCAATAAGATTGCAGGCTTAGAAGACGCTTTTTGCCTGGCCCATTTCCATTTAATTACTGATTCTTTCATGGGTCAGCTTATGTTCTACATACCACAAGCAAGTTTCCTTAACTCTTCCAATTCATGTCCCGTATGAACCTTAAAGATTTCCACACCTCTTCCCTACTTGATGAATAAAAAAAGCTTTCTAACTGAGTGCCCTCATCTCTGAACTTCATGCCCTTTTTTTGACTTTTTGGGGGATTCTATACATTCATGTCAACCCTCGTCTGTCAGTTTGTCGTACTATGCTACTCACGTGCTGAAAGTTATGCCACTGATAATTCAAATGTTAGCAGGGTAACTTACGGTGGACAGGTTTCAGTGGAGCTTCCAGACTATGACAGACTAGGAAGAAGGCCTGGCGATCTACTCCTGAAAATTAGCCAATGAAAACCTTATGGACCACAATAGAATATTCTACAATATTGCACTAGAAGATGAGCCCAATAGGTTGGAGGCACTCAAAACACAACACAATAGCCACAACAATGGACACAAATATACCAACTATCATGAAGATGGTGCACAACTGTGCAATGTTTTGTTCTGTTATAAATAATGCTGCCATGAGTAGGAGTCAACTTGATGGCAACTAACAACAACAATGTATTCATGAGTATAAGTTTTTATTTTTGTTTTCTCTCAACTAGATTGAAAATTCACTGATGGAAAAGAAAATGACTTATCTGTCTTCTGATTCTCTCACAGTGCTAAACCATAGTGGCGATATATAAAGGACTATCATTGTTAATTAAAATTTTATAAGGATGAAAATGTTCTGAGCAATTACTAAAGGTTTCCAGCTTAAAGACAGGCCTTAAGTAATTATAATAGAAATTGCTTATTCCACAAACATCACACCAAAACTTCCCTCAACAACAAATCCCTTTGCCTAGCAATACTCTGTGACATTTAATGAATGAATTCCAGAACACTTAATTGTGTTCATATGGAACCAGTACATAGAACAAGAGGCAGTCATTCCAACTGAACAAGGGGATAATTTGAGGTTTAAAATCAGGAAAGGTGTGGGTCAGGGTTGCATCATTTCACCATACTTATTCAATCTGTAGGCTGAGCAAATAATCCAAGAAACTGGACTGTATGCAGAAGAATGCAGCATCAGGATTGGAGGAAGTCTCATTAACAACCTTCAATATGCAGATGACACAACCTTGTTTGCTGAAAGTGAAGAGGACTTGAAGCACTCACTTACTGATGAAGATCAAAGACTACAGTCTTCAATACTGATTCCACCTCAACATAAAGAAAACAAAAATCCTCACAACTGGACCAATAAGCAACATCATGATAAATGGAGAAAAGATTTAAGCTGTCAAGGATTTCATTTTACTTCGATTCATAATCAATGCCCATGGAAGCAACAGTCAAGAAATCAAACAGCGTACTGCATTGGGCAAATCTGCTGCAAAACACCTCTTTAAAGCAGAGATGTCACTTTCAGGACTAAGGTGCGCCTGACCCAAGCCTCAGTATTTCCAATCACTTCATATGCTTGTGAAAGCTGGGCAATGAATAAGGAAGACCAAAGAAAAACTGATTCATTTGAATGATGGTGTTGGGGAAGAGTATTGAATATATCATGAACTGCAAGGACAAACAAATCTGTCTTGAAAGAAGTATAGCCAGAATGTGCCTTAGAAGCAAGAATGATGAGACTTCAACTCACATACTTTGGCCAAGTTATCAGGAGGGATCAGTCCCTGGAGAAGGACATCATGCTTGGTAAAGTAGAGGGTCAGCAAAAGAGAGGAAGACCCTCGAGGAGATGGATTGACACAGTGGCTGCAATGATGTGCTCAAGGATGGCAATGATTGTGAGGATGGCACAGGACTGGGCAGTGTTTCATTCTATTGTACATAGGGTCACTGTGAGTCAGAACCCACTTGATGGCACCTAACAACAACAACAGCGGTACTCTGTGACAGTTAATGAATCAATTATTAAACTTGTCTGTTAAATCTATCCTTTCTAGACATCAGTGGTGTTGAAATAGATAATCACGTTTGCTGTGTAACAAACTGAGGCCTATGAACCAAACCTTAATCTTTGCTTTTCCAGTATCATTAATAAGTTTTTTTCCCTTATTAATATCTCCAAGAAAAAAATAAATAAATAGTTTATTGACTACCTCAGAAACTCCAATAGAATCTGGTTTTTATCAAGCTCGTCAAAAAAGAGAGAATATGCAAGGTTATTCTTAAAAGAATCTTAACCATTTTTGCCATCTTATTATGAAAAATGACCTACGGATTGAAAATGATGTTTTTGAATGTTTATCTATGAATATGTGTAGAACTTAATTCTTCAGCTCTGAGTGACACATTTTAACAGACAGTATATTCTCTTTTTTTTTTTCAGAACAGATAACACTTATTTATTCCACAGATATTTATTGAGCATGTACTATGTGCTGGTACTGTGAATAAGACAGTTATCACCACTATCCGTATGGACTTGCTTTCTATCCTAGGAAACAATAGCCGTAAGAGCAGTGAACTGAGAGGGGAGGAAAAGGTGTCTTTGGGAAGGACAAGGAGGCAGTTAGCTGATTTAGGGAGCCTTGTCTCTTTACAGGAGTCCTTGGGTGATGCAAAAGGCTAATGCACTAGGCTACTAAATGAAAGGCTAGCTGACCACCCAGAGCCTCCTCGAAAGAAATATCTGATAATCTACTTCTGAAAAATCAGCTGTTGAAAACCCTGCAGAACACAGTTCTACTCTGACACACATGGGGTTGCTATAAGTCAGAAACAACTCGATGGCAACTGATTTACTGGTAACAGATGGACTTTGTCCATGTTATATCATTTCTTCCATTTCTTGAAAGTTCTTC